CTGCTTCCTACCTCCCTCAGCCCTCCGAACCGCGGGATTTCGCAACGGCAGCTTGGGAAACAGACCGAGCGCTCCGTTCAGAAGCAACGTGTATCAGCCCACTGAGATGGCCGTTGTGCTCAATGGAGGGACTGTAAGTATCAAGAGGTGATGTTTTGGCCGAAGGCCCAAGAGCGATCAGTGTTGGGGGCAGCTTCGACGGGGGCATCCTGCTCTGTGGAGGCTGCGTACGGGCCCGCACACACTGGCCCACGTGGACACCCCTTGCAGCTAGAATGCATGCAGTGCTTCCATTTCTCTTCCCCTCTCTACCCCCGTTCTCCATGCACGGAAGATGCACCTATACTTAGTGAACCATCTGTGTGGGTTCCTTCAAGAGAGTCCCTGTTTCTTAGGGCTCTTGTACCCCGTGAGTCTGGCTTTCATTATTGCACAAGATGCCCACCCGTGCTCCCTGGGAGGTGACTTTTAGGAAAAGCCCAGAGTTGTGAAACCCCCCGCCCCAGCAGATTTTGCTGACATCCAACCTAGTGTACCCCTGTCTGTCCCCCCACCCCATCTCTGTGCCCCAGCTGGATACCGGGTTCCCCTACCTCCACTCCTTAAAAGATGTCTTAAGAAACCGGAGCAATTATCATTTCTCCCCCTGCGAGAACAAAAACAGGTTTTACTATCTGATGCCAAACAGACCTTCAGCAGAATTGTCATTGTTTACATTTTGCCTCCGTGCAATTACATCATTTTGTTTCTCCAGCAATCCAAAGACACACTGTCATTCCCACATTTAATTTCCAAACATAGCTACATGCTTCCTCAGAAACAATGCATAAAGCCAGTTTACATGTGTAAATTGGACTTCCATTCCTCTATCATGTGCCAATTCCATAACTCAACCTGAGCTTTTTTTTTCTTTTCTTTTCCTTTTTTTAATGTAAGTCGGGGATGGTCTTTGATCTCTGGAGGGAATTTGGGTTTTCCTGGCCTTTTGAATGGTATGCGAGGCATTGGTTTGCACTGGTTTGGAACAGGCTCAAAGACAAACAGACTCACAGATTTGCTTTCTGAAAACCCCCTGCCATCCCTTGGGCTGTTTTATTGTCGGGTGCCAAGAAAAAGCCTGACTCGAAAGCATTCTGCCTGTGTGTTGTAATAAATAATGTTAGAACCCCCGTCAGTCACTCTTAAGCTCTCCTAGGCTCTTCGAGGCCAGTGGGTATAAAAACACCGTGGACTTAGAGAAAAGCCAAGTGGGTTTCTGAATGCAGAGACATTCATTCGGGATGTATGATTATAGAAAAGAGGACCCAGCTTCCCCTAGAATAGAGCTGCGTAACACACACTGGGTTGCCGCTTTTCTTGGGAATTATTCAGCCCCTTAGAAAAAAGCAAGATAACTTATCTTTGGCACATTGTTAACGAATTGGTTTCTGATGTTGACTTTGCAAAGCACAGAGTTCTTAGTGTGTTATCCTTGTTTCCAGATCCCAACTGCTCCGCCAAGTTACACTGGAAGACACCTCTGGTGAAAGACTTTAAGTTCCAGAGAATAAGAATCTCTCTTACCGATTTTATTCCCTGGCTGTCTTTCTTGAGGGAGAAATCAGTAACAGTAGCCGAACAAGGCTGCCTCACAGCCGGGAGATCTAGAAATCCTACACAAGGGGATTTTGTGTAAATGTGAACACTGCTGAACCTAAAAGCTAACACCGACTGCCCTCCGTCCCCTGCCACACACACACACACACACACACACACACACACACACACACGTAATACCAAACCAACCTCAATCCCTGCAAACTAAAGCAAAGCTAATTGCAAATAGTATTAGGCTCACTCAAAAATGTGGCTGGGAAGACTGTTTCATCCTCCGGGGGTAGAACAGAACCACATTCACAGTTGGTGGGCCGGGCTGGTGTTGGTTGACTGTGGAGCTCCCCACACCATTGCCCCTCCGCAGCAAGTGCTGGACCTCAGGTGGCCTTTTTTGAGATGACTGTTTCATTGAGAGGACTAATGGGGACTTCTCCACCAGCTTGCCTGTTGGTTTGCACATTTCAGGGGGTTCAGGAGCAGTTACGGAGTTGTGGGTGTGATCCTGGGGTGAAGCCCAGCCAAATCACAGCATGAGCTTTACAGCAGTAGTGGGGGAGGGACCCCAGCCTGTGCCAACGAAGAGAAGGCTATCTGGGAGGTGAAGTGCCTGTCACATTTAAAAAGTGGTGACCCACCACTGTTCCCTCTCTGGGCCTCCTGCTGCAGGTCTATGGCAGAAAAGCATGTCCGCCTCCCTCCTTGGAGCCAGAGCGATATTCCCGCTTGGGGCGGCAGTCTCTTTCCCTTGATGAGCTCTCCCTCCTCCTGCTCTTGCCAGTGCTCCCCGACACCCGTGCCCTTTCCCAGTTTTATTTCCATGTTCATTTCCAAAGCTCAGATGAGCTGTCAGCTGACAGCCCCTCCCACCCCCGTTGGCAGGCCAGAAGGCAGGTGCCACAGCGATTGTCTGTGATGATGTCACATGGCAGGGCATCCCAGGGGAGAGGGGACACTCTGCTGCCTAGCATGCTGTGAGTTCTCAGGTGTTAGACGTTGACGGAGTACAAGTTCCAGGGACGGCTGGAGCACTCGAGAGGTTCTTGCTGCTTTTGGAGGGTATGTGGGACATGTTTTGACTTGGTTTTCTGTAAGTTCCATGCAAATGGTTCTCTTCAAAGCCCATTGTTTCTGTCATGGTTTCCATCTGTCCTAAGCAAGTCATTCCTTTGTTATTTGGCATTTCCAACATCTCGGCCATTAAAAGCCCCATGTTCTCTGCACTGTTTGGCCAGCATAATCACTAGCAGTGACACAAAGCAAAGAGTTTTAACTTGACGGCATGAAATGTATAAATGAGGGTGAGTCCTTTGGCATATATGCTAATGATTATATTGCTTTTTCTATAAAACAACCCTTAAGCCTTTAACCTTTAAAGAAAATGAAAAAGGTTAGTGTTTGGGGGGGGTGGGAAACTGACCTCTTCATAAGCCAATATGTCTGAGCTGTTTTAATAAACCTTCTGATTTTTCTCAAGGCCCTAGTCTCTGCTGTGTCCCGTCCTTGCCATAGTCCCCTTCCCCACTGCAACCTTGCAGAGCGATGGGGTAAACGAAGCCAATTTGGCCTTCCCTCCGTGGCCTTCCTTCAAGTTTTCCATCCAGCTAGTGCATTTCCTTGTGTTGCCATGCATGAGGAAGAAAAAGCATGGCACCAGAATGCCACCCCTACCTGACCTTTGGGAAACAGCCCACCCCTGCCCAGAGCATGTGCTTGCTTCTAGAGAATCAGATTCCAATCCTCTCTTGAGGAGCGTCATTGGTGGACTGGAAACTGGGAATACTGGGGAGGAGAGGGAGGGAGATAAGCCAGGACCCGGGGTGGGGATGGGGGTGGTGGTTGCATGCAGACCCAGGATTGTGAAAATACAGAAATCTCCAAACACCTCGGTCCAGTCCGGTGAAAAACGACAGCAATACACATTCTCGTGCCAGGAAATGGTTGCTTACCCCCGCTCTCTGGAGTCCTTTGGAGCTCTCTGATCCCATCAGTGATTCCGTCTGCAAGAGCCCCCCCCTTCCCCCCTTGCAGAAGGGAGCAATTCACCCGATCGTTTTCTCTCTCAGTTCTTGGTGGCCTATAAGGTGAGCACAGCATAAATGGCTACAAGGGGGAAAGTAACGTTTCATCAACGTAAAAACAGAACCAGCTTTGCGCCAAGGGAGACCTCACTTAATGAGACCGTTTCTCCCTCCTTTCTTTTTAATTCTCTGATACGTTATTGCGCTTCTGGATTTTGTTTTATTTTGTCTTTAAGGTTGAGAGTGGGGTGGATGCCCTCCCAATGGGGCAGAGGTGGGGAGAAAGGGCAGAGAGCAGAGAACGGGTATTTTCCTAATGACTCCACCTGAAGGGTACAAAGAGACCTCTTTGCCAAGAGACTGGCTGCCAGCTGGCCCCACGGAGCAAACTTTAAATACAAAATCCAGTGGCACCTCTGTTTATGGAAACAACACTTGTCGAGGGAAAATGACCTGTAGGAGAGCATCTGTGATTAAAATACCTAATTGTAAGCACAAATCTTTCTGTGTCCGGTTATTAAAATCACTCTGGGACTATAACAGCCACGCTTGTCCCCCCCACACCTTTTGATAAAAAATGGTCATTCTATCCTGGTTTCCTCCACTGGATGTGGAGGGTGGGCAGTGAGGGAATCAGCTCAGAGAATTGACAAACTGGGAAAATGTGGGGATCCCGTGCTTTTAGCACAGACTCTGTCTGGGCCCACCAAACAAGGGTAAACTTGGGGTGGTCTTCTAGGTCGGCCAGTGCTGAGTTGAACCCTAAACAGAAGGGGAGTGTTGTGGCTTTTATAATCCAATGATGCAATGATTACACCAGCTTACAAGAGTTCTGAGCAGGTGCTTTTTATTAATTGATAAAGAGCTAAGGCTCGTTTTTGATAGATAATATATATTTATTAAATGTATTAATGTGTGTTTTATAATGTACCTTTATCCTCCCCGGCTGACTGTTGCATACTTATTAAAAAAAAAAATCGTTAAAGAAACTTCAAGACAATCAATGTGTACCATAAATGACTGTATACAAACATGACAAATTTAAAGCTTGTAAAGCATGGGCAGATAGGTTTTATTTTCAAAATCCTGTTCTTAACACAAAAATAAAGGCTTTCCTATTTACTTAAGATGTGTGGTAGCTTGTCAAAACCACCCAGAATAACTACGAAGCTTTTGGATTTGCCTGGAGGCTCAGTCTGTGGCATTTTTAACGGGGGAATCCTGGTTCACAGCAAACCACAGAACAAATGAGGGTAATCAGTTAGCTTAGTCACCAATGAGGAACTTTCTATAGTACTCTGGGGGCTTGACAACCAAAGTCCTTTGTCTGTTTTATAGTATGTTCTATAGTACTCTGGGGGCTTGACAACCGAAGTCCTTTGTCTGGGTGTCTTCAACTGGTTGGATTTGCAGTCAGAGTTAAGAGTCAGTCTCCTCTGCAAGTGGTTGTAGGCAATACGTCCTTTTTATGAAGAGAATACTCACCAGATAAACCTAAAGCCCACGGCAGAGGTTTGGGACTCGAATTTAAGTACCAATCTTTGCCAAGGCAGCCAGAAGTGGTAAACTGGAAACTAAAACACTTCAGCGTCTCTTGGATCTAGAGTTTGTTGTACATTTTAACGGCGGTTGGTGTAGAAGAATATACTGGAAGCACTGAAGAAATAATAATGGATAAAAGAATAAAATTTGGAGATAATGCAGAAAGTTAAGATTCGTACTCTCCTAGGATAAACTGTATGCAGTAAAGCATGTTCGCAACAAATCCTAGCTTGTGCAGAAAAGGTTCTGTATTCACATGTACCAAATCTAGTCGTTAAAAAAAAAATCAACAGAGAGGAAGCATAATTTGTACATTTTCCTCACGTAGGGTCCTTGAAGCTCCAAAGGGAAAAGAGCCCCCAGCAGTTAAGGTGGTGGAGTTGTAGGTTCAATTTCCTCATCGTCCTCCATTTTGCATTTCACTACAAAGAAATGAAAGAGAAAGTCAGAATCAATTTACATACCCAAACAGACTTGTGATTTTGCAAACAGCAAACTCTGATGTGGAGGTCCACGACATCGGAACTCACTGAGCACCTGCTCTGGTTCTGGGGCCACGGACCCACGGGGGAAGAACGCAGGGCCATTGTGTTCCAAGGATGGAATTGAAAGCTTCAAAACCACGTGATGTTTATGGCTATTCTTTTTGTCCCCCAGTTTTATTGAAAAATAATCGACATACACTGCTGTAATAATTTTAAGGCAGATAGCAAGATGGTTTGATTTACATATATGGTCAAACGTTTACTCCAGTGGGGTTCACTGACCCCCATCTTCTCACACAGATCCAGTAACAAGAAGATCTTGTGATGAGAACGCTTGGGATCTACTCTCTTCACGACTTTCCTATGTATCATTCAGGAGTGTTAGCTGCAGTCATTATGTTGTATATTAGAGCCCTAGTGCTGATTTATCATGTAACTGGAGGTTTATATCGTCCCTGGTAACCACAAGTCTGATCTCTTTTCCTGTGAGTTTGGGTTTTGTTTTGTTTTTTTGTTTAGATTCCCCATATAAATGAGATCATACAGTATTTGTCTTTCTTTACCTGACTTTTTTCATTTAGCATAATGCCTTCAAAGTCCATCAAGCTATTCTTAATTTAGTTCAGTAGAAGGTCAAAAGTGTTCTTTGCGGGTCAGGGAAACTAAAGAAAGGAAGTTTTACTGAAGATGATGACAGATTCCAGGCTCTTGACTCAGTCCAATCTGTCACCACTCACCTTGCTCCCCTACCCACCCAAAATTAAAAACTCAGGATAACACTGGGGTGAATGCAAGGTCAGAAGGGAATCTTTTCTAGTCTTTCATGGTCTGGAAAAGAATGTGATCTGGGGGATTTCCTGCATCGGCCAAACAGGAAAGTTGGCAGAACACAGGACAGCACAACTTGTAAGGGAAATTGTCCCAATAGGGAAAAGCCCCATTCCCTAGAAAAATAGGGAAACCAGTCCCCCACAGTGGGGGGAGGGGGAGTCCTTTTAGAAAGACCCTCTCATTTAAAAAAATTGTTTTAAGGTTTTATTTATTTATTTGAGGGAGAGGATGCACTTGCGCAAGTTGGGGGGTGCAGGTAGGGAGAGAGAGAAAATCAGGAATCTCAAGCAGCTTCCGTGCTGAGCACGGAGCCCAAAGCAGGGCTTGATCTCAGGACCCCAAGATCATGACCTAAGCTGAAATCAAGAGTTGGTTACTTAACCAGCTGAGTCACCCAGGCGCCCCCAAGAAAGACCCTCTTGTTTTTAAAAAGCTTTTGTTTCTAGTGTTCCAAGTGCTTGTCCTGGATATTAATGCCTGAAGGTTCTTCTGAGTAAGGTCACGGTCTCTGATCACACACGGGGAGCCGTGTTCTAAGCAGAAAGCATGTTGTTAGCATGTAGGGCACAGGTTTTGATCCAACCAGACCCAAGCATGGACTGAGGTGGGGACACCATCACGGGCAACACAGTTACTTCCTGTTGGATGTGGACTGAAAAACTTTCAGCAGCCCAGGCTAGCACAGCAGTCCTCAAGCTGGGGCTTTCTAAGGGTATTTGGTCATGGTTTATTCAAAGAGAGTCACCCTCCAAGTCCTCAGCTGTGGACAGTGTGGACTTGCGGTTGGTGGGGTTTATATTGATCCCCTTTCCTACCTCTCCTGGTCCTGGCATTGGCAAGTGTGTAAAAAATCCCCAGGTGGCAAACAAGGAGGCAGTCAGTCCACCAGTCTCCTTCCCGTGTTTTCTGTGTTTAATAATTATCAAAAGTTAAAGTGTATTTATTTGGCTTTGTGAATTACTAATGACTTAATAACTCAAACTAGAAAAACTATTTTTAATACTTAGAACCTGTGGTCACTGGAAATTTTAAAGAATTGTTTTGAGTGGGGGTGCCTGGGTGGCTCAGCGGGTGAAGCCTCTGCCTTTGGCTCAGGTCATGGTCTCAGGGTCCTGGGATCGAGCCCTGCATCTGGCACTCTGCTCAGCAGGGAGCCTGCTTCCCCCTCCCCCCTCTGCCTGCCTCTCTGCCTACTTGTGATCTCTCTCTCTGTGTCAAATAAATAAAATCTTTAAAAAAAAAAAGAATTGTTTTGAGTGTATACACCGTTTTTTGTTTCATATACATATGAAAGCTGTCCAAGTAACCACCGTGAAAATCCCATGTGCCTCTAGATCCTACTGATGACAATGGTCCTTCAGAGCCAAGGATGCTCTACGCCTCTGCCGGTGCTTTCCCAGGATCCTGCTGATCCATGATGTGATCCGGATGGGAAAGTTGAGCAACTGAGTGGGGATGGCAGATTCCTGACTTGTAGGCCTTGTCAATTTCCACATTCGATTTTAAGCTATCAGCCTCATCAGAGCTGGGAGGCGGTCTGCTCCACCCGATGGAACAGCTCAGTACAGGGCTGCTCTGGGTCCAGACAGGGAGGTATGCGGGAAAACCTCAGGGGCAAGATGGTGCTCTAGGCAGGGTCAGGGGGAGCAGCACCGTTCCCAGCGTCACTGGGAAGCTGTTAGAAGTGCAAATCCAGGGGCGTCTGGGTGGCTCAGTGGGTTAAAGCCTCTGCCTTCGGCTCAGGTCATGATCTCAGGGTCCTGGGATGGAGCCCTGCATCAGACTCTCTGCTCAGTGGGGAGCCTGCTTCCCCCTCTCTCTCTGCCTGCCTCTCTGCCTACTTGTGATGCCTCTCTCTCTCTCTGTTAAATAAATAAAATCCTTAAAAAAAAAAAAGTGCAAATCCACAGCTCCACCCACACCTAAAGAATCAGCAGCAGTGGAGACCAGCCAGTTGGTGTTGTCAACAAGCCCCCCCAGGGGATGATGGATACATCAGAGTTTGACCCACTGCTGCTGGTTCTCCACCTTGGTTGCATTTAAGAATCACCTGGGCCGCGTCTGAAGCCTATTAGTGCCTGGGTCTCACCCTAGACATTCTGATGTAATTGGTCTGAGGCCCGGGTATTTAACAGTATTCAAAGTTCCCCTATGTTGCTAATGCTCAGTCAGTGTTGAGAAACCCAAACTGGGGTTGGAGTCCCTTAAAAAAAAAAAAAAAAAATGACAGTTCAGAAGAGCCTAGAGTTCCCCTCCATGTCTCAAAATGGAAGCAGTTTGATGACCTCTCTGGCCCACAGTTGGCAGACAGTCGATAGAGGCTCCAGAGAGGGAAGGAAGTCTGCTGGGAAGAATTCAGCCTTTGGGTTTTCTGTTGTTCCTCAGCCCCGCCTGAAGGAAGAATTCACCTGCTCCCCTCTGTCCCGGTATCAACCAATTCCTGCCCATGCCTTGATAACCTCTCTTAGCCACCCATATACTTCGACTTTGCCTGGGGAAAAAGCCCTTATTATCTCTTTCCAATTATTACACAAGCGTCTTGAGAAAGGAGAGCAGAGATTGATGCTAGGACCGCTCCTCCGAACTGAAAAATCAAACACTATCTAGAGTTGATGGACTGGAAATAAAGATGGATGTGGAGCCCCAGGATGGAATCACCTGGGGATATTTGAACGTCTTCAATGCCCACCCTAGCCAGTCAGGTCAGAGTTGCTGGAGTGGGGCCTCTCCACTGGTGTCCCCACCCTGGGGAAGTGGCATTATCCAGTGACACTGAGTATGCACACTCCCCACAATGCAGCGACTGCTCTCCTCCTGCCGTCCCCCGGGGAAACCCTTGCACACACGTCTGCGCCACGTGGATTAAGATGTCCGTGATAGCAGGAAGCTTCAAAGAACCCAAATGTCAATCAGTAGCTGCCTGGATAAATAAATCGTGGTCTGCTTGAATGGCGAGTATACAGCAGGGAACATGAATAAACCACAGCTACACCTGTTGCCTTAGATGAGCTCACCCACGTTGAAGGAAAGGTGGAAGGCGCATATAGTGCGATTCTATTTACAGCAAATCTAAATACCGAGGAGTGCCTCTAAAGATGAGAAAACCTCTGAAAGAGGCAAGAGAACAGGGGTGTCCGGCTGGCTCAGTAGAGCACGTGACTCTTGATCTCAGGGTTGTAAATTTGAGCCCCATGTTGGGTGTAGAAATTACTTAAAAATAAAATCTTTTTTTAAAAATTTTATTAACATTTAATGTACTAAGATTTTATTATTATTTTTTTGACAGAGAGAGAGATCACAAGTAGGCAGGGAGGCAAGCAGAGAGAGAGGGGGAAGCCGGCTCCCTGCTGAGCAGAGAGCCTGATGTAGGGCTCCATCCCAGGACCCTGGGATCATGACTTGAGCCGAAGGCAGAGGCTTAACCCACTGAGCCACCCAAGAGCCCCTAAAAATAAAATCTTAAGAAAATAAAAGGCAAGAGAACAATTAGCCCAAAAGTCAGGATAAGTGGCTTCACTGGGGGAGAAGCTTTAAATGTGTTGACAGTATTCTATTTCCTTAACTGGGATGGTAGTTATACGTGAGTGTTTGCCCCAGAGTTATATGTGCTTTGTGGCCACTATTGTATGAATATTTCCCCCACCCCCAAAAAACAGGTAAAAAGAAATAAAAATGGTATATTACTTGAAATTACAAAGCCAACTAATGAACAGAAAAGAACAATTTAACTGCTTTGGGAGGGTGGAGATGGGGTATAAGTGAACTCGTCCTCATCTGTCATAGCAGGAAATCAGATACTGTCTAAAATCATATCTATCATACCGAAAATCGTAACTATTCAGAGATAAACAGCTAAGAGTTCAAATTTTGCTGTAGCAGAGGGTGGAAAAGGGATGATGCTGGTTATGTCCTTCTGTCCATCCTACACAGTAGTCCTCCCTTATCCTTGGGGGACAGGTTCCAAGACCCCCAGTGAATGCTCATAGCCAGAGATAAGGCAGGGAGATGAGTACTGTCTTTTAACCACGGGAACCATGTGCAGGGATTAAAAGTTAAGAAACAGATAAAAGTCTCCCCTTGGTGGTTTTCTTCCTCATTTTGGCAGA